TAGCGATGGCCTCCAAGCTAAGAGCGATGGCCTCCAACCTAATAGCATTGGCCTCCAACCTAATAGCAATGGCCTCCAACCTAATAGCACTGGCCTCCAACGTACTGGCCAATAGCAATGGCCTCCAACCTAATAGCAATGGCCTCCAACCTAGAAGCGATGGCTGCCAACCTAACAGCAATGGCCTCCAAGCTAATAGCAATGGCTGCCAACCTACTAGCAATGGCCTCCAACTTGCTAGCGATGGCCTCCAAGCTGAGAGCGAAGGCCTCCAACCTCATAACTTAAGCCTCCAACCTAATAGCAATGGCCTCCAACCTAATAGCAATGGCCTCCAACGTAATAGCCAATAGCAATGGCCTCCAACCTAATAGCAATGGCCTCGAACCTAGAAGCCATGGCTGCCAACCTAATAGCAATGGCCTCCAAGCTAGTAGCAATGGCTGCCAACCTAATAGCGATGGCCTCCAACTTGCTAGCGATGGCCTCCAAGCTGAGAGCGATGGCCTCCAACCCCCTTCTGGGGTGGGACAGAGGTCGTTGCAAAGTACCCAGCCTCACGAGAGTAAGAACCACTTCCCCTTAGGTTGTGGTGGCCGTTTAGTTTCAAGAATGTTGTTTGGTTCCTTGCACTTGAAGGCTCCCGCGTTTGGTTGGGGCGGCGTGACCCATTCCATGGTTGGCATTTTCTTGCGCCACCAGGAGCGTTCAGCTGCAATTCAGTCCAAGTTGCTGCATTTTGTGTTGGTTGTCTATTAGGTTAGAGGCCCAGGTTGGAGGCCATTGCTTCTAGGTTGGAGGCCATCGCTACTAGGTTGGCATCGCTATTGGGTTGTCTTCATCCTTGTGCGGTTGTGCAGGATAGCACAACAGTCATCATCAAGTGGCCAACTCACCCCAATTGGAAGGAGACTTGTTAGTACTTTGTAGGATCACACATCAAATTTTGATGACAGCAATAATGGTTGCAGGGCAAACGCGCAGAGATTCGCAGAGTAGATGCCTACGACTCCAATGACAAGGTTCCATTGGCCAAAGGCTCAAGAGACTCTATCTTTGCATGTTACCACGTGTATAGACCGCTCGACCTCATGTGGCAAGCACGCTTTGTTTGGATTTCGCGTTTCCATGCATCGTGTTCAAACGTATTCGCTTCAATACGCAAGTTGTATCGAGGTTCTTGACCTGAGAATTCGGGCTGTGTCATTCTGAGCCTTTCGTTGAGTAGAAACAATGTTCGCTACTAGGAACAAGTGCATCGCTACTAGTAACAAGTGCCTTACTAGTAGCAACAAGAAGCTAGTAGAAACAATAATTAGTATTTTCAGTTTATTGGGGCTGTTGGGGCTGTTGGTACTTGTTAGGTCGGCAATGTTTGTTCTTTCCACATGTTTCTTGCATGTTCTGAGGCCTTCCCGGTCCGTGGTGGCATTCTTGCAGACAAGATTGGGTATGGCAAGACAGCAGTGGGCTGAGCATTTCAGCACACTATTCTTCTAGATTAACATACACTTGTCGAATGGCAATGGACGCGTTTGCGAGTGTGATCTGATAGGTTGGAGGCCATCGCTATTAGGTTGGAGGCCATTACTATTAGCTATTACGTTGGAGGCCATTGCAATTAGGTTGGAGGCCATTGCCATTGGCTATTACGTTGGAGGCCATTGCTATTAGGTTGGATGCCATTG